CGTGTGCGTGCGTGCGCGTGTGCGTGCGTGCGTGCGTGCGTGCGTGCGCGTGACTGAGTGCTAGCGTATGTAATTAGGGCCCGCACGTACGCGTGTAACTCCACCAGCCCGCATCCATCCACCTGTCCTCGACGCTCTTTCTTCTCTTACCGAGAGCACACCGACGCATATGCTTGGTTTCGCAACATATCTGTTTTAGGAACAGGGAAGAGTCGTGACACAACGCGTGTTCCGTGTGTGAAGGGGGGTCGTAACATTAGGAGTGTTATAATATAGACACTCTATCATGACACTTTATAATGATGTCACTCTATGTTATGACACTTTATAATGATGTCACTCTATGTTATGACACTTCTGATAACATTCTAGCATGTAGTAGTTCCATCTAGAGAGCGGTGGGGTCGCGTATCATATATAGGTATTATCATGTATTATGTATCCGGTCTAGGAAGAAAGATTGCGAAATCGCTGGGACAGAGGGATATACCGTGGCCGGAGAGAGAACGCGAGAGGGAGAGAGAGAGGAAAAGAAAGAGAGAGAAGGAGAGAGAATGAAAGGGAGGAGAGAGAGCGAGAAAGAGTGCAAAGGAGAAGAGAGATAGAGCGAGATCAAGAGAGAGACAGAGAGAGAGAGATAGAGACGGACAGACAGAGTGAGAAAGAGAGAGATTGTAATAAAAGGAAAGAGACGGCGTTGCCAATCGGTGACACATGCGTATTGCATAACTGCCTACACCCACAGTCGCGCCATATATATGAGGGAGATCGTTGCTCGCGTGTACGAGAGAGTGACAGCGTTAACCATAGTTTATCAATATATGAGAGAAGAGCGGAGCAAACGTTAGTATTTCTCCGTAGCAGGAGAGACACTGTAACACATAGCATGTTTTCTGTTAAAAAAGGAGAGATCGTGTAACCTATATTCCTCCACTGAACGCAATGATGGGGCTACGTGACTCGTTGCGTTGCTAAAGCCTAGCGCAGACTTGCGACTTTTTCATGCAATTCGGCTGCGATTCTAGAATCGCAGTCGAAATTTCCGTGAAATCGCTATGTCTGCGGGAACGTGCAACTGCAACTCGTAGCGATTCTGGTCGCTTGCAACGAGTTGCACGAAATCAAACTGTTTTGATTTTGAGCAACTCGTCACTCCCAATCGCTCCCAAATTGTTCTAGAATTGCTTCGAAATCGCATGTGTGTGCACACGCGGCGACACATCGACCGATCGCTTGCGGTTGCAGGTTGCAGCGACGAGCAATCAAAAGTCGCAAGTCTGCGCTAGGCTTGGGTCAGGGTAGGTCAGGGTATAGAGGGATATGGTCACCTGCTGATTGTTCATGCAGACGGCTTAACTGTAGTTTACCTCTCTCGTACGCGCCGCTCTCTTTTCCGACGCCGCGTATTACGCTCGTGTCGAATACGCCAGGTTGCACATGAACGATGTAGAAAAGGCTGCTGCGGTGCGATTATGGCTCGTAGAAGTCATGTGTGTTCGGTCAATAAGCTTCAAAGGGTTCTTTTTATCGGCGAACGCTTATAGTTCCTCTGCGCCGTTCCTGTTGACGTGGGTGTTATTCGTGGTTTGGCTCTCTCGCGCGCGCTCTCTCTCTCTCTCTCTCTCTCTCTCTCTCTCTCTCTCT